TAGGGGGAGAATGTGTGGTGATGGTTCCTGATGCTTCCAGGCTTGAGTAGGGATTAAACCTGGTTGAAAAACTGTTGTTTTTGTGAAAAATTTAGAAATGACTTTCATTTTGAAAGTTTTGAAAAGGACCTTTTTTTTTATTTTAAATTGTTTGCAAAAATATTCATTTTACATTTTTTTTAGCTGCACAGACCTCTTTGCCCCCTTTCTTCTTTCACTTCACTTATCTCCTCTCTGCCGACTGCTTTTTCCATTGCAAAAAATAAAATGAAAGGAGGAAGAAAACACTGAATGTTTGGGGATTCAAAAATGGAAATTTATTTTTCTCCAAAAATATTCTGTTTAAGAAAAAAGGCCATTTTTTGAACAGAGTCACAGAGTCATAGGGTTTAAGGCCAGAAGACACATCAAGTCTCACCTCCTGTATATCAAAGGCCACCAACACCACCCAGCACCTGCATACTAAACCCCCAAAATATGCATTAGACTGTTGTTTTTTTTTGTTACATGCTAATATGACCTCAACTCACCCTTTTTGCTTGCATTTGGTAAGTGTGGCAAACATAAGGGTAAAAAGTGATGAGCAGTATTAATGCAGAAAGTAGGAGTGGGCAAAGGGGAGGGAGAGGGTGTCTCTGAATAATACAAGGAGACTGAATATGGCTGCTGTTAAGGTTGGCATGGCAACATGTGGAGGTTTCTGGATGGTTTGTGGAAAATGAAGGGAATTATGGTTTCCTGCCTGCTTGTGTTATCTGTGCCCCACACATATTAGCCAAAATGGCCCTGTGAGACAGAGGGTGGATTTCTGGGATAAGACGGCAGAGTTAAGGTCAGCCAGGAGTCTGAACAGAGAATTCCCTTTATTCTGAACTCTATAATTTTATTTGATAAATTGATCTACAACCTAAATTGAGCATTAATGACACTGCTTCAGTGTAAAAAGAAAAGGAGTACTTGTGGCACCTTAGAGACTAACAAATGTATTTGAGCATAAGCATAAGTAACATAAGCATAAGTAACACTAAAGTTTGATAGAAAAAACATAGTTGACATTTGCCTATGAAAGATGTGAAGATAAATGCACCTTTGGATTCTGCTGTTTGTTTCTTCTAATTGCACCCAACCAGCTTGTGTTTGCCTTTTTTGATTTGCCCTTTTGAGTTCCTATAATTTTAGGGAACTGGAACTTGGCTGGTGGAGTGAGGGTGGTGATGGTGAGGTCAGGCTGCATGGCATGGGAAGAGTGGGGGTGTGGTGTGGAAGAAGAAATTGGGGTAACTGTTGGGTCGGGGGGAGTTGAGGAAGGGTTTATATCTGCCTTGCTGCTGTCACAGGAGCTGGGGACAGTGGGAGAATTTGATTGAAATAAGTGATATGACTGCTTGTCATGGAAGGGAACTGGGAGTTTAGCTGAAGGTGAGGGAAAGAGAATGGAGGAGGGGTGATCTGGCTGCAGATGAGGGAGGGAGCCCAGGGGTGTCTGGCTGCAGCCTGGACGGGGGGGAAGGTCAATCTGCAGGTGAAGGGGGATGGTTCAGGTCAGAGGTCTGGCTGAAGATGATGGAAAGACCAGGGGTGATCTGGCTGCAGAATGGGGGAGGGGGCTGGCTGTAGGAGAGAAAGGAGGGTCTAACTACAGGTGAGGGGGTCTGGCTGTAGGTGAGGCAGGAGGAGGGCTTCTGGCTGAGGAGGTCTGGCCCCAGGTGAGGTAGGGGATGGGAGGTCTGGCCATAGGTGAGGTGGGGGAGATCTGGATAAGAGCATCTGGCTGGAGCTTAGAATCATAGAATGATAGAATCATAGAATATCAGGGTTGGAAGGGACCTCAGGCGGTCATCTAGTCCAACCCCCTGCTCAAAAGCAGGACCCAGCCCCAATTAAATCATCCCAGCCAGGGCTTTGTCAAGCCTGACCTTAAAAACTTCTAAGGAAGGAGATTCCACCACCTCCCTAGGCAACGCATTCCAGTGTTTCACCACCCTCCTAGTGAAAAAGTTTTTCCTAATATCCAACCTAAACCTCCCCCACTGCAACTTGAGACCATTACTCTTTGTCCTGTCCTCTTCCACCACTGAGAACAGTCTAGATCCATCCTCTCTGGAACCACCTCTCAGGTAGTTGAAAGCAGCTATCAAATCCTCCCTCATTCTTCTCTTCCGCAGACCAAACAATCCCAGTTCCCTCAGCCTCTCCTCATAAGTCATGTGTTCCAGACCCCTAATCATTTTTGTTGCCCTTCGCTGGACTCTCTCCAATTTATCCACATCCTTCTTGTAGTGTGGGGCCCAAAACTGGACACAGTACTCCAGATGAGGCCTCACCAATGTCGAATAGAGGGGGACGATCACGTCCCTCGATCTGCTCGCTATGCCCCTACTTATACATCCCAAAATGCCATTGGCCTTCTTGGCAACAAGGGCACACTGCTGACTCATATCAAGCTTCTCGTCCACTGTCACCCCTAGGTCCTTTTCCGCAGAACTGCTGCCTAGCCATTTGGTCCCTAGTCTGTAGCTGTGCATTGGGTTCTTCCGTCCTAAGTGCAGGACCCTGCACTTATCCTTATTGAACCTCATCAGATTTCTTTTGGCCCAATCCTCCAATTTGTCTAGGTCCCTCTGTATCCTATCCCTGCCCTCCAGCGTATCTACCACTCCTCCCAGTTTAGTATCATCTGCAAATTTGCTGAGAGTGCAATCCACACCATCCTCCAGATCATTTATGAAGATATTGAACAAAACCGGCCCCAGGACCGACCCCTGGGGCACTCCACTTGACACCGGCTGCCAACTAGACATGGAGCCATTGATCACTACCCGTTGAGCCCGACAATCTAGCCAACTTTCTATCCACCTTATAGTGCATTCATCCAGCCCGTACTTCTTTAACTTGCTGACAAGAATACTGTGGGAGACAGTGTCAAAAGCTTTGCTAAAGTCAAGATACAATACATCCACTGCTTTCCCTTCATCCACAGAACCAGTAATCTCATCATAGAAGGCGATTAGATTAGTCAGGCATGACCTTCCCTTGGTGAATCCATGCTGACTGTTCCTGATCACTTTCCTCTCATGTAAGTGCTTCAGGATTGACTCTTTGAGGACCTGCTCCATGATTTTTCTTAGGCACGGGACTGGGTGGGTCTGGCTGCAGGTGAGGCAGAGGACAGATGGGGGGAAGAGGGTCTGGCTGTTGGTGATACAGGGGACGGGAGTCTGGCCGCAGGTGAGGCAGGGGATGGGTGGTGGTGGTGGTCTGGCTGCAGGTGAGATGGGACGGGGGAGGGTCCGGCTGCTGGTGAGACAGGGGATAGGGGTCTGGCCGCAGGTGAGGCTGGGGGGGAGTGGGGTCCAGCTGTTGGTGAGAGAGGGAAGGCGTCTGGCCCCAGGTGAGGCAGGAGGGAGGGGTCTGGGTCCGGCTGTTGGTGAGACTGGGACAGGGGGTTCTGACCACAGGTGCGGCAGGGGTCTGGCTTTAGGTGAGATGGGAAAAGCGGGGGGGAGGGGGTACGGCTGTTGGTGCGACGGGACGGGGGAAGGGGTCTGGTCACAGGTGAGACAGGGGATGTGTGTGTGGAGGGCCTGGCTGCAGCTGAGATGGGAAGCGGGGGGGGGAGGGTGGGTCCGGCTGTTGGTGCTACAGGGGAAGGGGGAGGGGTCTGGTCACGGGTGAGGCAGGGGATGTGTGTGTGGGGGGTCTGGCTGCAGGTGAGATGGGACGTGGGGAGGGTCCGGCTGTTGGTGCGAGAAGGGAGGGGGCAGGGGTCTGGTCACAGGTGAGGCAGGGGATACGGGGGGAGGGGGGTATGGCTGCAGGTGAGATGGGATGGGGGGAGGGTCGGCTGTTGGTGCGAGAAGGGAGGGGGAGTGGTCTGGCTGCAGGTGAGGCAGGGGATACGGGGGGGGGGGTCTGGCTGCAGGTGAGATGGGAAGCGGGGGGGTCCGGCTGTTGGTGCGAGAAGGGAGGGGTCTGGTCACAGGTGAGGCAGGGGATACAGGGTGGGGGGTCTGGCTGCAGGTGAGATGGGAAGCGGGGGGGGGTCGGCTGTTGGTGCGAGAAGGGAGGGGTCTGGTCACAGGTGAGGCAGGGGATACAGGGTGGGGGGTCTGGCTGCAGGTGAGATGGGAAGCGGTTGGGGTTCAGGTGATGGGAGGGGGGGATGTTGTCAAAGGGTTTACAGGTGAGGCAGGGATTTGGTTAGGGAATGGGGGGGGTATGTTGTGAAAGGGTTGTAAGGAGGCAGGGATGTGGGGGGGTTAGAGGTAATGAAGGGGGTCGCTGTTGGTGCAGAAGGGGTTGTCAGGTGAGCAGGGGATAAGGGTGGGGGTTGGCAGGTGAGATGGGAAGCGGGGGGGTCCGCTGTTGGTGCGAGAAGGGGGGTCAGTGAGGCAGGATTGGGGGTTTAGGATGGGGGTGTGATAAGGACTGGAAGAATAAAATTAGGGATAAAGGGGGGGGGGGGGGGGGGGGGGGGAGGGGGGGGGGGGGGTGGGGGGGGGGGGGGTGGGGGGGGGGGGGGGGGGGGGGGGGGGGGGGGGGGAAGGGGGCTGGTCGCAGGTGAGGCAGGGGTTATGTGGGGAGGGTCCGGGTGAAGCGTGGCGGCAGGGGAGCCCGGCTGCTGCCCACGCTGCCCACACACCGCTTTGGGGCAGACCTAGGTTCCCATGTAACACTCCGCGGGCCCCAGTCCGGCCTTTGCCGCGCGCTCCAGGCCGGTCCTGGGACCTGGGCCGCTGGAGACCAGGCAAAGCTCCCAGTGAGTCGAGCCGGGTCAGGACCCTGGAGCGCGGCGCTGCCCCCGGGCTCCCCGCCCCGGGTGAGCGCCCTGCCAGCCCCCCTGCACCGGGCCATGCAGCTCGCCTGGGCGCCCTGCACCCCTCTGCCGCAGGAGCTGCCTGCTGGCTGGCTGGGGGGAGGGAAGGAGGCAGCTGTGGCTGGGTGCAGGGGAGGGGGAGAGGAGGCAGAGGGGATGTTGTTAAACAATCTCTTACCGTAAGAGGGAGTTGGGACTCAGATCTTTCCAGTTAATCACACAACAAACTTAGATCATCGCAATAAAAAGCAGGGCGGCTCACTCAGCCTCCTCTAGTGACCGACTGTGCACAGGGGTCCTTCCACGAGCCATCTCCTCTCCTCCTCCCTGCGAGCTGCTGGGGCAGCCCAGCGGCAGCATGTGGGCCAACAAACTCCTGCCGGTCCTGCTGCTCTATCTGCTGCTGCTGCTTCCCATCACCATCCCTTTGGCAGGTTAGTTTTTTGTCTCACTTTTTGCCAGCGATCTCTCTTTTCTGCGTCCTTTTCTTTCCTTTTCCCATTTATTATGGTGGGTGGAAATGTGCACTATTTACAAACCTTTGGGAAATGATACAGAGAAAGGGAAAAATCTCCACCCCCACCATCCTTACCTCAGTAAAACAAACACACCTACCTACTCCTTCCCGGATGGCTGCAGAACAGAAATGGTGAGTTGTAAACCAAGTGTCACTTCTAGTGGAACAAGCCTTCTGCTCTGGCAAGTTTAAAGCTGCAGGCACATTGCACTGAAGGAGGGAGGATGGATCTTATCCTTTCTCCTGGAGAATAGTTTCTGAGCACTAGAGATCTTTTGTGTGAAAGGCAGTAGTGTATGAAATATTATACTATCTGTGCCAATGATTTTTCATTGTGTTTGAGTATTTCTGTGTATATTCTTTGCACGAACAGCCTGTATGTGCGGTTTAGCTCTGGGCTTCTGAGCTACCATTACCTTCTCACTCTTCCCCACATTTAGGGGTGTCTCAGGACAGACAGGGAGCTGGATGAACCAAAAATGGTAGAGAATATTTCATGATTGCTTTTTGGAACTCTCAGCTGTTATCAGGGCAAGAAGAAACATCTGTACTTTATTGCACAGTAATAGATTAAATAACTGTGAGATAACGAACATCCAAAACATATGATAGTATGTGGTTTGGAGTCACTGTCCAAATAGCAGGCATGTCTTCCTGCACATTCAGCAGCAGGAATACGCTATTTCTAAGCGTGAATTAATTCTAATTTCATTAGTATCTCAATTCAGTTCCGGATTAAACTGGGGGTGTGGAAGGTGCTAGAAGTGAACAATAATAAGCAATAAATTCTTGGAAGCTGTCTAGTTGAATTTATTTTCTGAAGTGCTCCTTTTGATAGCGGAGGGATTGGCTTTGCATTCCTATTGGCTCTTCGGTGAGGCACTTGAGGAATAATGTTTTACAAAGATTTCCACAAACCTTTCCTTCCTTCCTTCCTTCCTTCCTTCCCCAAAGCACTAAAAGACAGACTGCTACTCTGCTAGACAGACAGAAAGAAAAGCTAACATGCAACTCAGGGAGAAGATCTGCCAGCAAAGTGGGCAATATATCTGCAGAGAGCAGAAGGGCAGATAAACAATGAAGAGGTCCAGCAAAGACACACATAGAGAGCGTGGAGTTGTGGGACAGGTTCTGAAGGCATAATGAACAAATAGCTGCTTTGTAGACTGCAGTTGCACTGTGGTGTCTTGGAGGAAGCAGCTGCAGTTTCCCAAAAGCTTGTAGTTGGTAAGCAGAGTTTACACAGTGAACCCCCTCTAAATATAGATAATTTCAAGAACTCGCTGGCTGTCCAGACCTGGGGCTCGATTCTGTGATCCTCCGATATATCTCCAGGAGGGATCCAATGCCTTCTTAAAAACGAAAAAGTGATAATGAATTGCACAAATAATTGATTATTTTGTGTTTTGAATGTGCAAGTCACAAATACGCTGTTGGTATCACCTTCAATTGATCCTGTCATATTCTTCTAAGATAAGAGCCTAATTCTGCAAGGTGCTGAACATTTCACGAGAAGTGTTGTGTGCCCTCTACTTCCATTGATTTCAGTGTTGTGAGGCTTGCTCAGCAGGTATTCTGGTTATAGGCCCATGTTAGTACACTTCTTTGTACTATTTCCCTTCTGCATGTGCCTCATAGTTTCCATTCCATTGAGTTGCACCCTCTTTGAAAAATGGTGACCTTTCCATGTCTCAGCAACATCTCTCCGTTTTCACCCCCCTTCCAACCCCCTCTGCCCTCACTTTAATGTTGTATCCATCCTATTGGACAAAGAAGATGAGTCTTGCCACTCACCACTATTGGACAGCTCGGAGCCTTGATTCTGTTTGTTTTGCTTTTTTAATTCCTATTTTCAAGAAGAGCATGAGTTTCATCAAAAAAGCCAAACTTTAAATTCCTGTGAGAACAAGATACATGAGGGAAAATTGTGCCATTAATTTTTTTAAAATATATTGTTTTTTTCATATACTAAGACTTCTCCTTGAATAATTTCTCCATTGAGGTTTTTATTTTACTGGAGATTTTTAAGAGGCCCTGTACACTCTGAAAAAAATATTAAATGCGTTAGCTTCATTTCTGAAGAGTTTCTTTTTGATTTGTGTATTAGAACTTAGAGATAGAGGAGACTTCTTATATCTTCAGATCAACCTCCCTGCTAATATATGAATGTCCCTATTCTGTTGATGTTAAATGTGTCAAGCTATAAGGTTTATTTGTATTATGTATTATTTGTATTATGGTGGTACCTATAAGCCCAAATTAAACCTTGGCGGTCCAACATACTAGGTTCTGTATGAACACAAGAGTCTCTGACTTGCAGGACTCAGAAGTCAGGATATGTCAGTGGGAAAGAGAGAGAGAGTGAAGAATACAATACTGAGAATGTGTTGATGTGAGCCAGCTATGTCCATTATGAGAGGTCTGATTTTTTTTAAATATATAAATAATAAGATAAGAACAGATGAATAAGATAAATATGTAAAGTTCTTACTAGCCAGCTGTTCTCCGTTTGCAGTATTCTGTAGGTATCTATCATTTACACTGAGAGACTAGTCTATAAGCTAATAACTTTCCTGAGGAACTTTTTTCCTCCCTGATATTCAGCCTATTTAGATATTCTTAATAACATCCCAGTATTCCCAGTCAGTACGTCTTTTACTCTGTTAAAAAACAGACTGCTTAGCTCAATAAAAGCTGTTGAACTAAAATGACCCCCATTTTTATGGAACACAAATTAGTACATGTAAAATTGGGAATGAAAGATTTATAAAAATGCATCAGATTTTTCCATGAAGAGGTCTTTAATCTAGCATTTTTCTTAACACCAAGTTTTACAGCATTTTCTGTAGGTCACATGAGATTAAAAGAATATGAGGTGCAGGTGTAATGCAAGATGTGGGAGAACATTTTGTTTTTTTAATTAAAAATGCTTTATACAAATATTGGTAGCCATAGGAGTGTTGTGTGTCCCTGTGGCTTGCATAACTGCATGTATTTTACAAATCTAATGTAATTTATTCTTTTCACTCCCTACTTGTGAATAATCATTATATAATATGCCATCAGCAATGCAAAACTCTGCCAGTTTGAAGACTGTATTCCTTCTGGTTAATAGAATCCATTTGGCACAGTATGCCAATGGCTTCTTGTTTTGCTCTATGCATTTACCCTACTTAACAGATTTTTTGTTTCCATTAATGCCATTTTTGTGAGCAACATAACCACAGAAAAATAGAATAAAAAGACTTGAGATTAGGATGTTGCATACAAACTGGAAAAATGTGCTCTGAAGTCAAAGAAAGAAAAGCCTCTTAGTGGAGAAGCTTATCTCTTATTAAGATAATACTTTAACTGAGGCCAGAGTTGGGAGGGAAATGTGCATTCTCTCTCCAGAGGATGACATCTTTCCTCCGAGTCTTTTTTTTTTCTGAGTATTACATGCAATTTATATCCTTCTAAACCTTGTGAAGGAGAGGAAGGATGGCTTTGCAGGGACGATACAGGAATGGAAGTCAGGAGGCAAGGGCCTGTCCTACCATAGTTGGAGAGCAGTCAACTTAATGGCATTCTCCCTGGACCCTGCAGAGGAGTTTTACAATTCTGTTTGTAAGGGTGGGTTTAGAGACTTGTACTTCTCCCCCAGCATTCACGTTGGGGGCTACCCTGCAGTAGCAACATCCAGAGGACCGACATAGCTGGAATTCCTCCTGGATCACTCAGGAAGAACACATTACAGCGACAGCTTTGCCATCTTCTAAATGGAAGCAGCACACACTGTCTGCGCTCACTGAGCAAGTCTTCTAGAAAGCATGAAAAGGGGTGGGTCACGTTCCCTGTTTTCACCCCCACCTCATCTTGGGGAGGCCAGTGCTAGCATGGAACAGTGGCTCTGCTCCCCGACCACTCCGTGGCTGCCCAGTATGCAGGGATTCTAGAATGGGGGAGGTAGGCTTCCTTGCACCCTTTGCCATTGCCTTGCATACCCAGCAACCACCAAGCTCCTCTTCCAGAAGGATGTACACAACACACTGCTGGAGGTGAAAGAGACACCAAATGCTTGTAAAGATGGTGGCTTTCACTGTGGACGGTAGTGTGACATGGGGGGGATTTATTTCTGTGGTAAATACAGTGCTTTGAAGGGCTACAGATCTCAAAAGAAAAGACTCATTTTACAGTGCGAGGCTAAGGACAGCCCTTCTATGTATATACCATCTGACTTTAGAACACATTATTGGCTGTTACCATTATTTTCAGTCTAATGGACTTTGGTACTGTGTACATATGAGTTGTGAAGACGGGGCTTACTGAATTTGAAAGTCAGGTTTCTAATAAAAGGTTAATCCTGGTGCCTTCTACTGAGATACCTGTTGTAGGAAGGAGTCACTGGTAAAATAAAAAAATAGTAATGAACAATAAACAAAAAACAATCTCCCTCCGTCTCAAAAGCAACTGTAAAGCACAAAAATAAGGAAAAAACATATATGTTTGTTTTTTCCAGATTGTTGTTACAGAAGCACCTATGCTTTGTCAGCACCCTTTTTTGGCAAGAGAAAACTTTGGAAATTAAAATTATTCCAGTGCCATTCTGTATTGTCTTCAAGCAGCATTCTGTGGGAAGCACTTAACTATGGCCTGGTCTACACTATGGGGTTAGGTCGAATTTAGCCGCATTAGGTCGATTTAAAAATGAGTTTGTCCACACAACCGACCCCGTTCTGTCGATCTAAAGGGCTCTTAAAATCGACTTCTGTACTCGTTCCCGACGAGGGGAGTAGCACTAAAATCAACCTTGCTGGGTCGAATTTGGCATAGTGCGGACGAAATCAATGGTATTGGCCTCTGGGAGCTATCCCAGAGTGCTCCATTGTGACCACTTTGGACAGCACTTTGAACTCCAATGAAATAGCCAGGTACACA